CAAATACTTGAGAAAAGATGGTGGGGAGGTGGGGGAAGGGCTCTTTACATTAGTGTTGGGTGATAGAACAAGAGGAAATGGGTATAAGCTTAGTCAGGGGAGATTCAGGTTGGATGTTAGGAAGCATTTCTTCTCTGAAAGGGTTGTCAGCCACTGGAATAGGCTGCCCAGGGAGGTGGTTGAGTCCCCATCCCTGGATGTGTTTAAGAATAGGGTGGATGATCTACTTAGCGATATGGTTTAATGGGGATTAGGGATGGTTGGACTCGATGATCTCTAAGGTCTTTTCCAACCTAGAAATCTATGAATCTATGAATCTATGAATCTATGACTTAAAGCACAAACATCTTTAAAGGAGTTTGTTCAACACTGAAGAGCACCAATACAGCTGAATAGTTTTAATAGTGATATACGTCTACAGCTATACTTAGTCGCATGTCTAGAGCTCAGTCCATGACTAAAATTAAAGGATGTCTAAGCCCAGTAGATGAGTATTAAGGAGAGGCAAACTAGGAAAAAGCTGACTGAAAATATCTGTAGGAGAGAAATATGCAGGCTGTACATGCATAACTGGTTGGTTATTGGAAGTAGGCATACATTTGTCGGAAAGATTCTGGAATTTTGTCACTAAGAATCAGGAATGGCAAAGAATAAAAGAATGTTTGTGGAAAGACTGAGGTGGTGAGAATCTAGAAGATATCACTTCCTTGTCTGTCTTAGGAGCAGGACTAATCCTACACGTTACCTGAAATGTCTTCTCTTGAATAGTGATGTAGGGACCAAGAGCTGAAATCTATGAAGTTTATGTTTTAATATATTTATGAGAAAGACTTTTCAAACAATGAAAACATGCTACTGGAGCAGAAAGAAAGGAGATTAATATTGAATAACTATCTTTGTGACCTTTGTAAGGAGAAAAAAACGTGTATGATACAGGGAAGAAAATATTTATAGTCTTCTAGATACCATTACTGATATATTAAGCTAAATCTTCATAGGAAGTTACTTAAAAGGAACTTTTGGAGTGAAATCTTACAGTATTATCGTAATCTATGCAAAGAGCTGTTTGAAAAATGTAGAAAAGTTTTGATAAGTACATCAAGACACTTATGTTTTACTTGGAGAGTCTGAGACAGTGTTATGTTGTGGCTGATATGTGGTACTCTGGAACAAAATTTGAGTGGTTTCTAATTCTAGAGACAACTTCAATCTCATAAGTTTGAGATTAAGGCTCTGACAATTAAAATCTTTTTACTTATACTTTACAAGAGAAAAAAAAACCAACTTAGTGTCACAGGAACAGTTCCGTTATTTAGGAAATGTCCTTGATATTGAGCATGTATAACTTGTAATGTCAGTGGAGCAGGAGTACTGGAAAGGACATTGTAGCTCCCTAAAGTAAAAGTTTCCTATATTGTAGGAGCATTTTTGGAGGAGTTATTGAATGTCAGATTCTTAAATTCTTTGGATTCATGATTTGGATCAGATTGTAAAGAGCATCAAGATACAGAATGCTTCAAGTTTGGCCCTTAAGAGTGTGTTGTCCATTGTTTAGTGTAGCCTCCAGTTCTGATGTCTACTTGAGAGTCTTACCAATTTTGAGAAGTTGATCAACCACATGTGAAATTCCTACATATGCCCCAAATTGTTCACATTACTTTTTACTTGTAAGCACCTGTAGAAACAAATAGGGAGACACAAATGGAGAAAGGTGGCTAGTGAGGACTATGTTTTGCAGGCAATAAATCCGTATTTCTTGTTTTGTAGTAAATGTTGTCGATTGTGTTTGGGGAGCTATTCAGCTCATCAGCCATTAAGTGCAAGGATAATGTTTTTGGCGTTCTGCTGCCACTCCAAAAGGCAGCAGATCTTTTTTAGGTCCTGTCTGTCAGCCTGGTGTGGACATCTCAAAACCCATCAGTGGCTCAAATGTGAGCAGCTAAATTGAGTGGTAGCTATCTGTTTTTGGAGCAGGCTCCTTTGACTTTATTGTCTATATCTCAATTAACTGAAGTGGGAGACAGTTGCCTCCAGGGTAGGCCCATACATGTAACATCCTAGATACAGGTGTCTGAAGTTTCATCTCTAGCTCGTGTCAAAATTTCATTTAGATACTTTAACATTGATGTGTTGATTGCAAGCTGAACTCTCTGGTTTTCTCCTCATCCTTAATTATAGCAAAAAAAAATCGCTCAGATTTTATTTATTTGTTTGTTTGTGTGGTAGGAGACAACGAGCCTAATTACAGTATAAGTCAACACCAGGTTCTCCAGAGATACCGTTAATGAAGTGAAATTGAGCTTGTCCTGGGAGTGGACAAGTTTTAGAAAAAGTACTGGACAGTGGACAGTATACTAGGTGATTTCTATTACGAGGATTATAATGCAGTAAATTCCGTTTCTTTGATGTGTCATATAGACTTACTTGTACAAAACTCACATTTAACGAAAGTTACAAAATGACTCTGATTATCTGAATTATTTACTGAATACATTTTTACATATTTCCTTTTCTGAAAATTTTTAAAGTGAAGTCTAAATGTAAAGTTAATATTTTTCCACAGACAAAATCCGTCTTTTTTTTTACACAAAATCTCTAGTAAGGAAAACAGCTTATATTGATATTCCAGCATCATTAGTTTATCACTACGACTTTTTAGAGCTACAGAGTATTTCAATTTATTAGTAGTAGCATTTCCATTTATTATTGCAGCTAGTTTTGATAAAGACGAAAAATTGCTATAGACTATATTATTGATTGTGGAATTATGAAGCAAGGATATAAAAAATGACTTAAAGTATTAAATTAATTTCTTTTCCATTTCTGCATAGTTCAATCCCATGTTTTGTTGGGGTTAAAGGATGTTTCACAGATGAATTGATAAAGCCAGTATATATAGTTTTCTCGTAGTTTGCCTGCTATGTTGTATTATATGTGAATAAAACTCATTATCTGTTTTGTTTGTGCAGTAATTATATTTTGTTGTCCTGTGCATTCCTTTTGCTCTCTCCATCTCATAATACGTGCTGTAAAAGCACACATAAATAAATAGGATAAACAAATTAAGCTGTTTAAATAAATTAATTTACTCTGCAGCTCTGTATTCAAATCTTATGTGCTCACTGGATTTCATTTTAATGAAACCCTTCTAAGAACAATACATTGTATGCCAAACAGTGAAATTATATATTAAAGGAATGATTAAATATAGCGTGTTCCAATTTATACCAAATCTGTACGCTGCGCTTGCTTAAATCCTCCTAAATCTAAAGAAATAAATCTTCCACATTCTGAAAACATCTGCATTATAATCCTCCTCTTGAATACCCAGTTCATGGACATGTAAACACAATCAAAGTCATAATAGGCCTAGAGCTATGATGCAGTTAAACTATCCTCATCAATGTTTTTGTCTTAAAAACCCGAGACTACTAAAGCAGAATCCACTTAAATGTCTTGAAACACTGCTCTGAAAGGTCTTCTCTTGCTCCATCAGTAGGCCCATTGAATCCCTTTGTAATCAGAATCTCAAGTTTAGCAAATATTTATTATAAAGCTTATGTGGAACAAACCTATTGATTACTATAGATGGTCACGTTGCTAAGTTTCATAGGAATGCATTCAACGAAATAAATATTCATCTAGCTACTGTGCATGAAAAATAATGACTGCTGCAAAAGCATTTTGTGGTGTGAAGAGCATGATGCTCTTTTCAGGAAAACTTTTAGGCATTTGCAGCAGCAAGTTTTCATACGTGTTACTAAACACATACTAATCGTATTATTTCATTACCGAAAGCTTTTAGTGAGTTGAATGTATATAGTTGTTTGTTTGTTGTTTTTGGTTTGTAGTTGGTTTTGTTTCTTTTAATTAGAAGTCAGGATTTCAATTATCAAAAGGAAAAAACCACCCAACAACCAAAAAAAACCCTAGTTTAACATTTTCAGTACCTCCAATAGATTTCCCTTGCAGGAACTATTTATTTTTATCACTATTCGACCAAACCCTCCTAACTCACGCATATTTTAGCAATGCCATAGAGTCTTGGGAGCCATTAGAAATAAAAATGAAACTGCAGGGAATGACAGAGGATTTTCTAGGACGGACTGTTCTGCACTCAGCTCCCTTTGTTTATTGTTTCTGTCAAAGTTCTGAGGAAATATCAGATATATCTATCTGCTACATACTGACTGTTCTCACATAGCAGAAGCACAGTTCAAACCATCAGAGTCCTCATGCTCTAATTTTCAAAATCAAGGAACATCTTGAAGTGTGTCTTAGCTCGTCCTGGCTACCATGCCAGGTTTCCTCCTGGATAGAAAGACAGGAATGGGTTTTTCCCCAGTTTGAAGTAGTGATATAGACAGTGATATGGCCACACTCTTCTAAAAGGTGTGGTTCATTCCAGGTTTGTACTCCATGGTACAAGTACACATTCGGATTTTCATCAGCCAAATTACTGGTATAGGCTCAGTAGGGAGCTTATATTTTCTTTATGATCCATAGCAGTTCAAGATCTCATTACTCAAGAAACTCGGCTGAAATTAAGATGTGGAGTAAAATTCAGCATAAGCTCACCCAACAATGTCTGGTCTTTATTTGTTTACATAAGTACATCATTCCTCATCCGGTAAGGCTAACGTCTATAAGCTAGTAAACAACATGTATATTTCCAATTTAACAGCGTGCTGGTATAAGTGAGGAAAAAGAACAACCCAAAAGCAAAGCAAAGATCTTATTTTTATAAATAGCCCAGAAGGCAGTTTAAAAGCCTGACAGGATGAGCAGTGCTCACATTGCATACTAAAACGTAAGGTCTAGTGTCCTAAAATTGCTAAGTTTCCTTTGAGAATACTCTGCAAATCCTGGACATCTGAACAGGGGAAAGAACAGGTTGTGATTTAGGAGGAAGATTCAGTTGAGGGAGTTGATGTTTGGAAACCACAGAAGTTCGAGTTTAACATTGCCTTTTTTTCGAAATGATTTTTTTTGGGGTCTAGGAACGTGTTCCAGACAGCCCTTCTCCTGCTCCTTCCCTTGAAGAGGGCCGAAGACCTGGCAGCCATCCATCCTCTCATCGAAGCAGCAGTGTGTCCAGCTCTCCTGCACGGACCGAGAGCTCTTCAGACAGAATCCGTAGGTCACATTCTTCTCCTTGTCACCACTTTAAATTTGATTAGGTGCAGATGGTTTTTCTAATCAAAATGCCCTCGTCTTAAATAGATCTCATATGTATCATGTTCTGAAGTTCAACTGCAATAACTACCTCCCAACATTACATTCCCCAGTTTACAATATCATAATATCTAATGCTACATTAATGGCTACTGATATAAACTGCCATCATGTCATATTAAACATAAAGATATGAGCTATGAAATACAGAATTGCAGCTGGGAAGCAATTTGCTAGATTAGTTTTAGAACTGAACATATAGTGTAAACATTTTTTTAAAGAAATTGAGTTTTATTTAATCTGGTTACTGTGGTTTGATTTTGAAATTGAATCTGACTCATAAACAACGTTCTACATGGTAGAAATTCTTGGTAAAGAGAAGAATTAGGTTGAATCAATTAAAAAGTGTGCATACTTCATACATTTTTTAAATATAAAAAATTGTAATGGTGAGAAATATGATACAAAGAGTATCATCACCTTATAGCTCACAAGGGGCAGAGTGAAATTAAACCATGGTGTCTCAGACTAATTCCATTTTTGTACAGGATGTAAATTACATGGCAAAGACCCTGGGTTCTGTGATATTCCAGTGCAACAGCCTGGAAATTAAGGTTTTAAACACATATTATTTTTTTGATATTTATTTAAAGTCATATTACACTTATCCAGTTCTTTTATTATTGCTCCATTGCAGGTTTTTGTGCTATTAAGTAGTGGAATTTTTCAGTAGGTGAAACGTGTTGCTTAGATGTAGCGCATGCGTCTTTTAGACTGCTTCCTTTCAGGCTCTCCGCAGACTCAGGAAGCTGACTCTTCACTGACCTTCAGATGAAAGATCTTTCATTTACTATGTGATGAAAAATGACTTATCAAAGAAAATAAATGAGGCCTGACCGTGACAAGCAGAAAATTCTGTTTTCATATCACTTGGACGATTCAGAATTCAAATTAAACTGGCATCCTATATACTGTGACCTATCTGTTTCCCCAGGTCTTTATGCGTTCATAAGTAAAGTTCTGGAAAAAAAAAAAAATCAGAACCCTGAATTATTTCTTTTTTTAATTGATCCAATAGTATATTTTTTTACAACCGTTGAGGACCTTTTCCATTGTTCTCCAAATAAAAAAAAAAAAATTAAATTGAGGGATACCTACTGTTTTTGCTAAGGAATGACACTTTTTTTTAAAAGAAGTGGTACTATTCAGCTTACTCTGCTTAGTTACCAGCAGAGAGGAGCAAGACTTTCTCACAGTTGTTTCTTCCAATGCAAATATAACAGAGTTCCTTCAATACTGGATCACTTCACTAACTTCTTTTTTTATAAAATAACTCTTTTCTCTCCTATCTGATTTGTTAACATCACACCTGATTCTTAAGTACATCTGCTTTTGTGGTGCCAGCAACAGTAAGATGACTACGACAGAAATACAGTTACATATGAAAAAGTACTTTACTGAAAATGGCATAAGCCTCTTGCAAATACAATTTTTCAGGATAAAAGCATAGGGATATAAACTACCTTATATGGGTTTCTGAGGGTTTCTTTGACTCACGAAGGTCTGTTTGAGAACTGTTGGAAAGGACTTTTCAAGCTATATGATAAGCAAATATGCAATTCTGCTGTTGCACACTGTATTTTTAAAAACAGTGTTTATCACCTGGAAGGCCACAATGCTTAATTTAAGGAAGTTAGGAACTGCATATTGGGAATGCTAATATTCAAGATTTTTTGTACAACTAAGTAAATTGCATTTCAGTTGTTAAATAAACAAGAAAATGTTTGCAAAAATCCGACTTTGTCCAAAGATATTGAACTCTTTTTTTAAAAAATGAATTGTTTCAGACCAGAAGTAACAGGAAGAAATTCTCCCGCTATGTGGATACTGATAACACTAATTAAGTAACTTTATGATTGTTAGAATTCCTGTATAATTAAGAGGAAGACTATATAAAGTAAGTACAAAAGTATATTGTTAATATGACGGCTGATTTTCTCTCTGCCTGTGCTTGTGTCTAGCAGCTGTCCATCAGAACGGGCTATCTATGAACCAAATGCTGATGGGTTTGTCACCTAATGTCCTGCCTGGACCTAAGGAGGGTGATCTGGCTGGTCATGATGTGGGACATGAGACAAAAAGAATACACATTGAGAAAGGTAATATGAATATTATGATTCTGCTGTCTCAGTGTAAAACAAGTATTGTCTCAACAGCTAAATAGCATTGTAGTTGTGATTTTTATTTTTTAATTGAATTTTGTTGTTGTTTTTGTTTCACAAATTAAATTATAGTAGAATGATAGCTTTCTTGATTCTTCTACTTTCCTTGAGATTAATGAACAATATTTATATGAGGGAGGAATTTCATAAATATTGCACAGAAGGATGAGTGAAAAACAGTTTTATATTACTGTTGTGTCTCTGACCCTTCTACAATACTGTTTAGGTATTAAGTTTCTGTCTCCATCCAGTTGACTTTTATGACCTACTTCCCAAAGGGACTGAGCACCGTGAAAATTAGTCCATGTGTGCAAAAAGGAAAAAGGCTAATACCAAGCCATTAAATTAGGGAATTGCATAAAATGAGACTGGTACACATTATATAATGGGATTTAAATTTAATTGAGTATATGACCAAAGTGTTTGATCTAGGTGAATAGTCCACAAGCACTTATGCTGATTATGACACCATTTCATCTCTGTTGGTATTCAAAGTTAAGTTCCTGTTCAGGGTTGTTACAGGGGATTTTGGAGGGATGGTGGTGGAATTTTAAAAGGTGCATTTCAAGCTATATTTACTTAATATATGTGAATTTTAAGTATTATAGACTAGAAACATTTTGGTTAAAGAGAGGCTCGAAATATGACAAATCCTTTGAAAAAATATTTTTTGGGCTTCTCAGAAAAATCAGTTCTTTGAGCAGAATGAGAGGAAAAGTAAAAGGTATAATAGCCAGCCGTTGAATCAGAGCTGAAGAAACTGCTGCAGTGATGAAGCTTTCAGAATAAGATATTTGTGCCACATTTTAATAGCTATAAGATGATACCTTCTCTGTCTTGTGTTTGAACACTGAGATATGAAAAAGAATTAAAATCTGGACAATTCTCTTCTGGACAGGTGGCTTTTTAATAGGATTACCAGAAAAATTAATGGAAACAACATTTCTTTTATATAAACCATTTAGTTTGGTTCATTGCACACACAACCTGTTTTAGCTTATACTATGCCCTCACTCAGCCCCTGCAAATTGTGTCCCTGCTGTGAAGTATGATGTGATCAAATAGGTTTGTTTTGAATTTCCATAAATGACTTGATTTCAGCTTTTGAAGTTACTTGTTTAAGTGTAATCAGACTGGTAAATCCTGCAAAGAGAAGTACATATTAAGAATTGCTACTATTTTTGCATGTTTTTCAGGGTTTTTAAAGGCTTTGTTTACAATGGTACCCCAAATGTATTTTCCAATCTGTTGCCAGTTCACGTTTTTTCAAGGTCTGTTCTCAGTAAAACTGCTGAGAATTCTTTTTTTCCTCAGTCCTTGTTTAGGTCAAACCTTCTATTTTTTGTTCTTTTTTCCCCCACTGTTCCAGCCTACTGAATTAATGGTAAATATTCATGGGCTATCTAGATTGATAGGGTATACTAAATTAAAAATTGTTTTCTGTCATGACTACATTTGTCATGTCTCTCATACCAATCTTATAACTTTAATACTAATCTAATCTGTATTAAAACAAGTGATTTAACTTACAGATATTTGTGGAGATAGTAATTATCTACTTCTGTCACTGTGTGCTTGCAATCAGATTTCCGAACTGTTGCTTACCACTGCAAATCAGTCAGAATGCAATCGTATTTAAAAATGCAAACAAACATATGCAGGTGGTGGTAATTTTGTTGTTGAAACCCCATCACCTTCATCATCTTAGTCAAACGAAAAAGAGAGAGAGGAAAAGAGAGAAGTTCTGAATAAGTTTCATGAAGCATTTAAATATTATTGTGTTTTCTTTTAAGCCATATCGGCTGCAATTAAAATGGCTTTTAATTGAACCTGGGAGAACCTGGGAAATCCTGCCTGGTAAAGAGGGCCTTGTCTTTTCTCTTCTTGCCTCTTCTTTCATTTAAAAAATGAAAAGATCAAAAATCTCTGAAGTGATCTGAGCTCAGGAAAAATTTATTTACAGTCAGCAGAGTATTTAAAGGAGGAAAGTTGTAACAGAGACAACTGATCAACATACTAGGTTTTGAAAAGACTTAGCATATTTCAGAGAGGTGAATCATTTGTCTAAACTGATGTATAAGCTGGATACAGGAGAGGAAATACCATTTATCTGTTTTAAACATAAAACAAAGGAGCTAATTTACCCAGTCCACACAACAGAGTGTAATACATTTAGAAACAGTTCTTTGCACTTGTGAACCGAATACCACTTTGAGGATATTCAGTGTTTCGAGGGTCGTATGCATTTCTATTCAAAATTCAACCAGAATTAGTATTAGTGGCAAAAATGAGTTTATTTTACTGAAGTGGTTTAAACTACCAGAAAATCTCTTGGGCAGTTTTGTGGGGATTTTTTTATTTACCCATAGACTGTGTTGAAAATCTGTTCTCAGATTCTGAAGTGAACTGCCTTGAGTGCCTTCAGCTTCCGATGGAGTCAGGTTGTTATTATCCCACCAAGAATCAAATTAGGTTCTATGGATCTGATTCCCAGCCTAGTAAAACTGGAAGGTTTGCATCGGGCTCTGGGTCAGTATTTGTTGCAGGAAAACAGGAAGAGTTTCTGTTCTCAAAGACCATGTGTAAACTGTGGGTTTTGGGAACATTTTTCCAACTGCTGACTCCAGATGTGAAACTTGGCCAAATTCTAGCTCCATGTTGGGGCAAGACTCACTGTACACGTCCGAAGTTTCACCCACGCGCTGGGTTCCATGAGAAGAAAACTTGGATTTGCTAAGGGTTGTGTTGTGGTCCAGCCGGGTTCCTAGTCTGGACTAGAAGGGGTTGCAGTCCCTAGACTGCAGAGCACTTCTGCCCCACAGTTCATACATAACTCAGGATGTCATTATCTGTATAACCAGAGAATTCAATTATCCTAGATTTCCAGGATTTTTTCCTTATTAGAGGATAACAGATTTTCCAAATTTACTGAAAGTGAGCTGTAGAACTGCAAATGATCCTGGGAAGAAGGAGTTCAAGTACACAATGTTAGTTCAAGTACTTTACAGCCATCATCAAACCAAGTATCTAATTTTGTAACCTGTAATTGTAGACTATTTGATGATGCAGGTTTGGTTTTATTAGGTCAGATTTCACAAGAAGGACTTATGTGAAGTGTAGGAGCCACATTAGAAAGGATCCATTCAGGTTTTTTACATTAAAATTAAGGCTCTGAATCTTTTCAGATAAAGTTTCTATGACTCGAAGAGCTTGCTCTAGATAGTCCCTCAATGTTGGGGAGGTATATTTTATCAGTCTACCTTGATCAGCTGTTATCTGAGGTCCTGCAGATCTCCCAGTCTGAAGTTGCGAGAAGTTTATCTTTGGTGTTTTCTGTGGGGCTGAATACTCGTTCAGCTCTTCAGTGATGTTGTCTGTTAAATCTGAAAGCAGCAGAGGAAGGAGGAGCTAGCGGAGAACCTAAGGACTAGACTGCTGAATCCTGATGCTCTTCTTGCTCATTGATATGAAAAGTTCAAAATAATTAATGGCTTGAAAGTTAAACACACACCTCTTGGAGATGTGAATGTTAATTCCTTGTAGGCAAAAGAGGGAACTGAACTTTTGACACATTTCCTGGGTACTCTTTAATCACTATGCTTTGTGTAAAAGAAGGAAGTATGTTTTACCACTGTCCCTTTGCCCTTACGACCCAGACTCTGGTCATATGGAGTCTGCAAGTTGGAATTTATAGCTCAATCCTATTGCCAGAGTTTCTCTATTTAGTAGCCCTGGAGAGCTGCATCTGATTACCTGTTGACTTTAGACAGACTATAGTTCTACTTGTTAACTTCATTAGATCCCAATTTGCAGTACCTGGTTTGGGTAATGTTAAATGATGTTGGAGGCAGTGGCTGCTCATAACACCTCCTAACTGGTACCTACCTAGCAATGCCTACCCTATATGTTATATAGGAGTGTAAGACTCTGCACCCTTCAGCCCAAGATTCCCTTCTAGGGGACAAACACCTAAAAGTTAGTTGCTTTAACACCAAATTTAGATGCCTAAGTATTTTATTGCATCTGGCCCTAGGGCATCAGATTAGAATTTTCTGTCTGCATCAATTTATATTTTTTTAGATTGACACCAACAGCAAATGAAGCCTGAATGTCATGCTTACATTTTAAATTGAATATGTTATTTGAAGTGTTATGGGAAGGACACTCTTCTGTTGAAAATGTGCATGCTGTTTTCTATAACAAAACATAAAATATTCACCATGTTCACAAAAGAAGCTAAACTATTTCTTTCAGAAAAGCTTTTAAACTATGATATTAAGGGAAATTTCTTAAGTAATTTTCAGATAATCAACAATAACTGCTCCTTGACTACTATGATAGCAGCAATTAAGCTACAACTTTATCAAATCCTTTTATTGAAAAGTCCCAGTCTTTCACTCTCTTTTTATTTTATGTCCCTCTGTGGAGATGTGAGCAATCTTAGACCTCTGACTAATATCTTATAAAAGAGAGTATGAAAATTCTAAAATAACCTTAGTGCAAAATGGAAAATAATTTAAATATTCCAAAGCTATAATTAGCATTGTACTTTCCTGTTAGCAGTCATGCATCAAAAAAGGAACTAATGATAAATAAGTCATCCTATATAGCTAAGTATGCATTCTGCATTGTTTGCAGTAAATTTTTTTATAATCTATACATAGTGTAAATATATATCAAGCATGCTTATTCACCTTGATGAATATAGAAACACATATGAGTATGATTTTATAAACATGAAAGACTCAAAGGAAGTTTTAGCATCAACAAGGATTCTCTTCTACCTGAGCTGTCCTCTAGCAAAGTCAGCAAACAAACGATCCGGAACTTTGCTTAAATTGTGTTCCTGGTCTGTGTTATGATTTCAGTTAGTTCTCTGAGAAAGCCCTTTTTTAAAGAGTTTTTTTACCAGTTGACCTACAGGAATTTTCACTCAC